TAGTTCCTCCTTTATGGAGTGCTGCTTTTTTACTGTTTTACTGCTGGAGTCTGCTGGTTTAGTATGTCAGGAGTAACACCAGTATCTAAGCTCCGTCTCCAAAAAAATATTTTGGGCCTGCGATAGTGGTTTTCTGAGGGGAGCCCCGTTGACTCCCTAACACTATCAAACTGACATGTGCCATACTAGTTTGGTGCCATCAGTCCTTGGAGTTAGTGCCTTCTGGGGGCCATGAGCTGGAACCTGGCTCCCTCAGAGAGGTGCAGGGAGCAATGCCCATATAAGCTCTCTACATTTAGAGTTTGGCATTTCTGCCATTGAATGGGGAAGGCATCCTATGGCCGAACAGAGGCCCAGAACTCCCCCAATAGAAAACAGCGAAACAAGCAACATATCAATCAACTAGTGCACCAGCTCGTTAGTGCCTCCCCCTCCCCCGACATGGGGGAGGGGGGGGGACCCAGCTGAGACGAGCAGGCCGCACTAACCCCGGTTCGTCGACTGGTGTGCCAGGTATCGGAAGTCCTCTCTGGCCTCAATCTTTCGTCTGGCTATGCATTTATGGCTTTGCTGGCAGTGTATGTGGTGGCCCAGGTGTTCCTATAATTCTACTGGACTGCATGCGCCTAGGGTTCCCTTTCCTAGATGCCCGGTAAGTATTTTCCTTTCGATTTAGGGTTCCCCTCACTGGGTTGTTTGGGTCTCGTTCCCGTTTGAGGCCTTCATCACCAAGTGATGAAGGCTCCCGGACAGGCCCCCAATAGGGAGCCGGTCAGCCGAGTGGACAGCACGCTGGACTTGTGATCCTGTGGTCCTGGGTTCGATCCCAGGCGCCGGCGAGAAACATTGGGCAGAGTTTCTTTCACCCTATGCACCTGTTACCTAGCAGTAAAATAGGTACCTGGGTGTTAGCCAGCTGTCACGGGCTGCTTCCTGGGGGTGGAGGCCTGGTCGAGGACCGGGCCGCGGGGACACTAAAAAGCCCCGAAATCATCTCAAGATAACCTCAAGATAACCTCAAGGTGGTCTCGTCCTTGGTGTTCGCCATGGGTCTTGGGCTTCCCGTCTTGCCCCGGTTAGGGAGTGGGTTTGTGCTGAGTGGGGCGCACTATGGGCGGTGCAGCTTGCATTCAGCGGTGGCCAAGGTTTCTCTGGGGACTGGTTAATTTGTGTTGCTTCGTGGTTCTTTTTGTTTGTTTTTAGCGCATTCTCGCTTCCTTAGCAGAGAATGGTCTGCCTAGCTTCCCATTAGGTTAGCCTGGGTTATGTTTGGTAGTCATTCTCAGTTGCCCCGAGGTTTCACGGTGACACCGGTTGCCAGTTTGCCTGCAGCAGACAGGCCTTACCGCCTTAGCTGGTCCCAGTGCCTGGGTTTCCTGTAGGGCTTAAGTACCCTGGAAATTCCCGTAGGGCTCGGGGGTACCGTGGATGTGTCTTCCGAGCCCACTCTCGCTTTGAGCAATGCTGAGGGGTGTTCGTTGCCCTTGCCTCATGGTGAAGATATGTCCATCCTGCCTCCGTCATGCTGCCTGTTGGGTCGATGATACCTATGATCCCGAGTCTTGCGGGACGTGTTTCCCGTTTGTTATTCAATTTACCAATTCCTCGTCTGAGGTTGTTAGGGATCAGGCAGCAGCTTGTTGCATGCTAGGTATTCTGTGTTGCAATGGGCCAGATTGGTTGCCCGGTTGGTAGCCCCGGAGCTGCCCCGTTTGGATTTTAGGGACCAGGATTTAGGGGGCGTTGGTTACTTCAACCTTGGTTCGGTCCTCGCCCTTGTTTCCTTCCTAGGTAAGTGTTATTCACCTTGCTCCTCCTCCCCTGCTTTCGACTCCTAAACATCTGAGGGTTTACGGGCCAGGGCAGAGTTTAGCCGGTAATGAGGCTCGGCTGGCTTCGGGGGCTGCCCCCTTTCGACTCGGGGATGAAGGTTGAACCCGAACCCGTGAGTAGCCGGCACGGTGGGTCCAGGGTTGCAATTTTCTTACCGTGTGGGGTCTGTTTTGTTATGCCTTCCTCTCTGGGTGCCTAACCCCAATCGATGCCAGATATGGAATGCCCCCCCAAGTACATGAGGTACTTGTCCAGCGTTGTTTTATATATGGCGCCATTCTATCTTACGCTTTGTTGATCTTTTTTACCTACATGCTCATAGAACATTCTATTGCGAACACATTGGCACAAAAATGAATGATGTACATAGAAAAATAATGTCAGGACAGAGAAATAAGTATAAACTTTCAAAGTGGCGTATCGCCTATGTGTCGTCGCGTCACTGATACCGGGTAACAGTGCGGCCACTTTCCACACTCTTGCGGGTGGGCCGCAACCATTATTCTACGTTTATATTCATATCAATGTGTTGGGAATTTCATTGCGAGTCCATTGATACCAAAATTAACGCTGTAGGACACGTGTGGAGGTGACAACAATCCCAAGAGTAGAAACATTTTGTTGCTGTTTGGTGCTCACGGCGAATCATCTATGTAGTTATTTATTTGGTACTGGTATCCCTATACCTTTTGTGACCTTTTTTTACTGATGTTCTTCTAGAGAATTTTATTGCGAACACATTGGTACCAAAATGAAATACGTAGCTCGAGAACTAATGTCAGAAGATTAAAAAGAGTATACACATTTTTGTTTTGCCGCTTAAACGACAAAATTGCCGCGCGCATATACCGCTTTTTTTTTTTTAACGTTAGCCGGGCATGCGAAAGTGTTAATTTCTGCCTCTCCTCTCTGCTGTGTATTTGTTTCTTGCTTGTTTGTAGTGTTCATTTGCTTGTGGGTTCTGCCTATTCTTAGTTGACCCCATTTTGTTGTCTTTTCCTCTCTGCCTCTTTCACAATTTGTTGAACCAATCCTGTTTTCTGATCCTATATCTCCATTTTAGTATGAATGTTTGTGTTCCTTTATCGTATATTTCAAAAAATTTGGCATACATCTCATTTACTTCCTTACCTAGCGACAAGTCTGCCCAATTAAAGGCATTAAAAAATTTCTAAGTTCTAAATAGTATTCTCTCTTGAAATTAAGTTTATCAGCTGTTTCAATGTCCACATTCACTTTTGTGAAACTGACAATGTTTCAGTGTCCCTGGAGGTGTGTGTTACCTCTGATAATAAGACATAAGCTCAGATACTACGGGCATTATAGTTTAACCCCTTAACTGCGTTGCCTCAAAATATGACACCCCAGCAGTGTGCAGGAAATAAATTCTCTAGAAAAAATTATTTTTTCTTTTTAAAGTGTCAAACTCTTCTCTCAGTATGGGTATGTAGAAAAAAATCGAAATTGTACTTACTTTGGCTGCTATAGAGTCCGTAAGTTGGGGGCGTGACGTCATCATTCCCTGTTCGCCCGTGACGTACGCTCCCAGGGCCAGTAGGGCGCTTGGGGCTGGGCGCACGAGTTGCCACAAATATATTTTCGTTCATTTTTTCCCACAGTTCCAAATACATTTTATTTGTTTTTACATGCTAATCCTATGTATAGTGAACACGTACACTATATTATGGCAGTAAAACATCCATACTGTCCGAAGACACTGTGTTACGTGCATGACATTTGTGTACACATATGCTGCACATATTTACTAAGTATCATGCTAATTTATGTATATATACAATCTATTTACACACAATACACTATCACACACTATATACATTCACCATCAACACAGAACACCTCGAGTGAGAGCAGCCACACCCAGCCAGTCTCCCTCACTCCAACATCTTACTCGCCAACATTGCTCCTCCCACCATATTGTTATAGTTCTTATTACACATGTTCTATATACCTATCTACATGTTTTATTTACCAGAACTATGCAAGTAAGCCGGTATTGTGTCCAAACAGTACAGTGGCCACCATACACTGCATGAAAAATCACACAGCAGACAGCAGACGACGCTATGATTACGTCACCTCCCTCACCAAAATAGCTCCTCTCAACATTCTCCTGTTGCTGTTCTTACACTATATACACACACTATATATACCCATGTACATATGTGTTGCCCATAGCGAACCACTAAGCTAGTATGGTGAGCAAAACAAGAGTGGCAGCCACACACACACAATGAGGCTACTTCAATTCTTGCCCTCCCTCCCTCACCAAAATTCCTCCTTCCACAATACTACGCACAACGCTAATTATAACCACAATCCTGCTATTATCACAATCCTGGTCCCTAATTCCTGTAAATGAATAATTGACCACACGTTTATTTTGAAAAGGCACCTAAGAAATCATTTGAAGATTCCTAGATGAACGAAATAATGCTGTGGTGCTGTGGCAAGCGCTGTGAACATCGTGAACAGCATTGAATCACTGATATTTGAACGTTGTACCCAGTCATTATCACACTCAGGCTCTTCTATAACACTATCATGGCTAAATAATACAAGTTATATATATATTTTGACATTATTAGGCGATGCTGTGGTCACACGCTGAACAGCAGTGCTGTGCGCTCATGCTGCGAGCGCCAGCCTTGGTTGCTCACACACTACTGAGGCTCCCACACCTGGGAATGTGGACCACGATTTTTTTTAAAGATGGCGTCTGTTTACAAGAGCCCTGAGGAAGCTGATGTGAACCCCATGTAGCCGCGGGAGTTTTGAATGGAACGTGAAAAATACAAATACCCAGAGGCGCGTTGTGCAAACCAGACGTGAGCCTGCAGGCGCGTTGTGCAGTTTAAGGGTTAATGCTTTACCACTAGGCAGGCAACATTGAAGTCAGGTTATGTTCATGACACAATCTGAGTGTAATTGGTAATTGTGTAATTACCATCTAAGAAAATTACACAATGATTAAGTTGTGTGTGTGTTGTGTGTTTACATTCATTACATGCTTCATATCCATATTCATGTTTAATAAGGATGCACATGTTTCAGAAGCTCAAATAACCTATTAAAAAAATGCCATTTTAGGTAAGGATGAGGTAGTCTCTACTTGTATGGATAACTCGACTATTATATTGTTTTATTAGGTACATCAACAACCCATGCCCCAGACAATGCAACATCAGCAACAACATCAGCAGCAGCAACAGCAGCCACCTCAACAACAGCCTCCACAGCTACAACAGCAACAACAGCAGCAGCAGCAAGATATTATAGTAAATGGCGGCATGGTAGGCATGAATTCTACTGGCAATGGTGTTGTGAACGTGGGCGGGTCCTCACCTACACACTCCTCGTCTATGGCATGTGTTGGTATGACCGGAGACTCCTCAGCCACCAGTAAAGAGAAAACACCAATGTGTCTTATCAACGAGCTTGCTAGATACAATAAGGTATTATTATTTATGATGTATTGATATAGTTCTTGTCATCAGTAATATACTGGTCATCTTTGATGTGAGAGTAAATTGCTCATTTTCTGTAAATCTTATGCTAGACATTTTAGCTTAACAAATTGGTTCATTTGATTAAAACAATTTATAGTCAAATCCTGTATATGAGAATGAGAAAATTTAGACATTGTGCCAAGGTTTGTTGAGAAGAAATGTTCTTTTAAACTACTTTTATATATTTTGTAATGGTTATGAAAGTACTTGTACTTACAAAAACAGAAGTGTTTAGTAGAATTGTGGTATTACAGCATTCTTTTGTAAAGAGCATATTGATTTTGCTGCTGACACACTATAACACTGATTCACACTGGTGGGTTGCGACACCCTTGAGGTCAAGAATGTTTTCTGAAGGGGGCTGTTGCAGAACCAAAATTTGGGGTATATTTGAATCGTCGAGAATTAGCAGGCGGTGAGTATTCCGTCTAGGCTTTTTTTTTTTTAATTTTAGACCCGTAAATTTTTAAAATTTTTTTAAATGGCCAGTGAACACTTTACATGTAAAGTTTATCATCTTTGCCACCATCAGGGAAGCACCCAGAAAGATAGTAGAATCGAAACAAACTATTGAATGATTGTAAAATGAGACCAAAGCCCCAACATTGCATAAAGAACTCTCCGACAATAAAAACAAAACCAGAATTTGGTGAAAATGTTTACCCCTCTAGCTTACCCCACCTTTTTCCCTTATTTGGGGGGGGGGGGAGCCAGTCCGGGTCAACCGGGCCACTCGCCATTCAGTTCCATACAGATGTCTGTGCATGGTAGTTGTCTTCACTCTGGCTCTGGTCTCTTGTTTTCATGTGGTGTTTTGCCATTGAGTCTGTTCTCTTACTTGGGTGTTGTACATGATCCAGGAGTTTAGTGTACTGGAGCTGCATGTGCTCAGGGTTTGCTTCCCTGTGCACTCTGTAAGTACTACCCTTGTGTGGTAAGGGTTATCAGCCCTGGGGAGTTTGGGCAACACTCCCATTAGTGGACATCCTCGCCTGGGGTGGTCCTCACCCTTCAGGTAAGCTGGTGGTCTGGGACTGACTGTCTTTCCTAGGGTTGGGAGTGTTAGTTGGCTGGTGGGGTGCACTATGGTTGGCACGACCAGTTACTTATTTAACACAAGGTGCACCAATGTTTTCTTCCGGGCTGCTCGTTTGCTGCGGTTGGGATGGGGGGTGATGGGGGTGCTTTGATTTCTTGTTTTCATTGGCATTTTGTATGTTTTTGCTTAGGGGTTCTGCCATTCACCTTTTTTGGTATGCCTATGATGTGAGCTGTTGAAACTCATTCCTTGCTGCCCCCTCGACTTTTCCTTTGGCTTCTGGTAGCTTGGTTGCCTGCATCGACAGGGTTTACCAGCATAGCAGACCACCAATGCCTGTGCTTCCTGCAGGCCCTGGAAAACCTACTACGGGCTCAATTGTACTATGGATGCCTCTTCAGAGCCCGCTCTCGCCGTGTGCGAAGTTGAGGGTAGTTCGTCGCTTTTGCCATATCTGCAGGCTGGACAGGCGAGAGGTGCTTACTGTGTTGCAGGATTGGAGGAAATCCTGTGTTACTCTTCTCCTTGTGATTTCTGTACAGTGGGTCATGTGTAGCTCTATGCTTCTTCCCTTATCTTGAGGTTATCTTGAGATGATTTCGGGGCTTAGCGTCCCCATGGCCCAGTCATCGACCAGGCCTCCTTTTGTTACACACCCGCAGGAAGCAGCCCATAGCAGCTGTCTTAACTCCCAGGTACCTATTTACTGCTAGGTGTACAGAGGCATCAGGGTGAAAGAAACTGCCCATTTGTTTTCCTCTCCACCGGGGATCAAACCTGGAACCTCAGGACTACGAATCCGAAGCGCTGTCCACTCAGCTGTCAGGCCCATACCCCATATCCCTCGTGTCAGCTGGTTTTGATGGGGTTCTGTGCTTTCACTTGTGGCTTTGCAGAAAGTGTGGGGTCGTTCGGCTTGACTTCTTTTGCAGGGGTTCTGCCTTCTTCTTTGGGCATATTTTCCCCTCAGTTAGCTGCTTCCTTCCTTCGAGTGGGGTGTTTTCATGTTCGCCTCCCATCTCATGTGTTAGTGAGCCGTGCTGCCCCGGTCTTTAGACTCAGCGTGAGCCCTGGCTTTTCCCTCTGCTTCTTCCCATTTGTTCCTTACGGATTTTTCCCAGTTGTCTGCTGCTGCTCATGTTGTGATTTTTTTGCTGCACTCTTGTGTCATTGTGAGGGATAGTCTCACTGCCCTGGCGGTTGGTTGAGTCAGAGTCTTGGCTGCTGTTTGTTGTGGTGGGTCTTCTCTGGTGTTGGCAGCCAGGTCGGTTGCGCTTTCCCTAGCCTTGTCTTTTCTGTGGAGGGAGCCCTGTCGCCTCCCTGAAGCTATTGGACTGATATTAGCTAATATTAGTATGGGGCTTCAGTCACATGGAGTTGTCATGCCTACTGGAGACCACTAGCCAGAACATGGTTCCCCTCAGAGTGACGCATGGAGCAATGGCCTATGAAACTCATGTATGAAAGTATTAATTTCTGCCATTGACCGGGGTTGAGCACCCAGAAAGATAGGTGCTTCAAAACAGACCCCCTCCTGGTAGATATTGCAACCTGATACCAAAGAGATGCTAGAAACCTTACCCTAAGAAAAACAAACTAACCGAGTCTGTTCCCCCACAGGGGACGGGGACAATCTATTCCACCACAGGGGACAGGGTCAGTCTGTTGCACCACAGGGGACAGGGACTGTCTAAACAAGCAACATGTCATCACACCGCATGCCTCTTGTTCGTGCTGACCGGATGTGGACCTCTTTGCGCCAGCTTGGTCGAGGCGTCTTCCGGTATATGCAGCGCCCTTTCCCGACTGGGAGGCCGTCGGGGTCGATGCCTTTCGGCTGGACTGGTCGAGGTGGGGGTTACTTGTACCTCTTCCCCACCGGTTTGGTTGTTGCTCTAAGTTCTGGCTCGCTTGGAGACTTACCAGGGGAGGGTAGTCCTGTTGGCCCCTTAGTGGCCGGCCCAGCTCTGGTTTCAGGCACTGCTTGCTCAATGTCCGAACCCGAGGGTCTTCTATCGGCTCCGCCTCTTTCAGCAGATCTGTCCAGTCCGATACGTGACTGGTTTGATCTTCTCCTCCGCTCTGCACGTCTGGTCTTTTTGACGCAGGTTTATCGCCACTTACGTGAAGCCACCTCTTGTGGCTTCATTGATGGTGTCCCATCTGCGAGTCTCGTCTCGGCGGCAGTATGAAGTTTCCTGGCAGTCCTTTCGGTAATTTTTGTCTCTTCGTAGGTTGTCTTTGATTTCTGGCCAGGTTGTTTTGTTCTTTCTCTTTTGGTTGTTTGAGGACTCTCATCATAAGCTGAATACTGTCGCCTCTTATTGTGTGGAGTTGGCGGAGCCATTTCTGCTTGCGTTATGGGTGGACGTCGCTTCTGCTTTGTTCTGCAAGCTTTCTCTGGCATTGTTTTATCTCTGGCCTGTTCATGCATCTTCTGGTCTTCAGACGGGGTGCTCTTTTTTTTCTCTATCCTCCTTGGTTTGTTTTTGCCCCTTCGGTTCAGTACTATTTTTCTAAAACATTTTTTTCTTGTTGGCATTGGCCTCTGGGGGTCGGGTCGGGGAACTTCATGCTTTCCTCCGTCTCAGGGGTTTCTGCTCTTTCGGTCCTGGAGGTTGTATTGTTTGCAGTCGTCTCCATTTCTGGCGAAGATTGAGACTGTTGCTTTCCGGAGGGGTCTTTGGGTTGTTGATGCTTTGTTCTTTCGGCTGGGGGTGCATCATGTTTTGTGTCCAGTTGCGGCTCTTCGCCGTTATTTGCACGCCACGGCCTCCGTGGCAGGAAATGCGCTTTAGGTGGACACGGTTTTCCTTCTTTACTGTTCCAGGGTGCAGGCCTCCCAGGTCGTCTGCAGGATTATTCGATCCAGCCAGCCTGCGGTCTATCCCCGTGCCCACGATGTTCGTAAGTTCGCGGCTTTGGCTGTTGATTTTGGCATTATATCTTGGGCTGACATTCAGCATGAGGCTTTTTGAGGTCAAACAGGGTCCTGGCCGCACGGTACTTTGTTCCTGGCCGCACGGTATCTCATTAATGTTCTTGGCCCTACTCGGGTGTGTGTAGCCTTGGGTCGCAGGTTGCAGCCAGTTGTGTCAATTTAAAGTTGAGGAGCGAGTGACAGCCACCTTCCAGTTGTCCCTCTTTTTCTTCCTCAAAGTCCCTCTTTTACTTTATCTTTGGTTAGGTAGCTCGGGGAGCCGAAGGGGCTCTCCACTGAAAACCTGTGTTGAGTGTAATGAAACGCCATTGTCTGGGTGAGACCTGGAGGCTTCCCTCCTTGTTGTCGACCAGACCAGGCGAGGAGACTTGATCAACACCCGCCTGGAATTTTAAGCCCTGAAAACACCTCAAGGTAACCTCCCCGGCATACCTTCCTCCCTCTGGTCGTTTTCTTTTTCTTTCGATTTTGACATTCAGCCTCTGAACTGGGGTAGGCTAACTGGTGTGGGAGGTCTGGGACTACCCTTTTTTCCTCCTGGGGAGGGAGGGAGGGAGGGAGGGGTGACGCAGACAGCGGCGCAGCGGCTGTGGTGACGTTATTCTTGTTTGCTTGTTTTCGATTGGGGAATTCTGTTTGCTTGTTCAGTTTTCGGTTTTGCAATTTTTAACCAGTCGTAGTTTGTTTTCGAAGTCCTACCTTTCTGGGTGCCTGACTTGGTAGATAGCATAGACTGCTTCCAATTACTTGGGGGGTGTCTATAGGCCATTGCTCCTCGTGCCTCTCTTGAGAGGGCCAGGTTCTGGCGCTGGTCCCTGGTAGGCCTAGAACTCTTATCAATTGACTGTTGCCATGGTCTAATATACACACATCAACCAAGTATAGTTTCGGGGAGCCTCCGGGTTTCGCCCAGAAAATGGCGTTTCATTATATTCAACGCTGTTTTCTGGGGGGAGCCCCGTCGGC